GTAAGAGTTGTACTCCATAATTTTTTTTTTTTTTTGTAAACATGTTAAGTGGGTGTTATTGGTTGTAGGAGTCTAAATACACTCCATTGGATTTAAATCATATGAGATTTTTAAAGATTTGATTCATTTAAAATAATTGATTATAGATTTTACAATATAAAGTTGAAGATTTACAAATCTTTGGTAGTATATTTACAAAGTATACATGATATCATTTGGTTTTTAGGATAGATTTGAATCCAAACAAAAATTTTTTTTTTAAAAAATGAAAAGGATAAAGATAAAATGAAATTCAATGTAGAAAAATGAAAAAAGAACTAAAATCATAAAAAAAAAAAAACTCAAGAGTAAAAAAACACAAAAAAGAGAAACAAGATAAATATAAACACATTCTAACCATATTGGTTTGAATCCACCCTACCCTTTCGTCCACCGACATACTCACATAAACGTCTTGTATTCCCAACTGGTAAATTTTGGTAATTGTATCCCAATAAACATCAATAACATAATGTCTAGATCGGAATCATATTATGATTATCACCATCACAAACTATCATTTCTCTATATATCAAATGGCAACAAAAACTAGAGTTGTTAATTCAATGATCTAGAAACATCCCCTTTATAATATCTAGAAAAGCCAACCCAACATACGATGGATCTGAAAGAGAATCATTCATTCATAAAACAAGCGTACATCAAAACAAACCTTGGGGTGATCAAACGTTCTTGAGAAAATGGAGTGAGTTCACCTTAATGCATCAAAACGTTATGTTGGGGTCAGATTCCTTCTGTTAGAATCAACAACCTTGAAATGGTCAAGTGTTGAATTAAAACCAACAAGCCGAAGATTAACTGGCGGTTCATCGGTCCTTTAATAGAATGGACCGATTAGAAGTAATGAGGAGCAAGTTCAAGACAGGCCCAAAGACTCCAGCCGATATAGGGACCAGCTGACTTAGAGCCTTTCGCGGAAAAATGAAAGTCGCTAAAGAAAAGAAAGTTTTTCTTTATAGTTTTGGGCTTAGCCCTAATTGCATATATTAATATATATACTCTTGATATCCTCAAAGAGGGGATCCAAAAAATTAATAGCAAAAACTCTTGTAACAGTTTTCTTAACAGCTAATAAAAACTTCTTTTGAGATCTTTACGTTTGGTGACTTGCTACAGAAGTTTACAAACCCTAAAAAGTTATTTAACAAATTCTAATTG